GCACGGCTAGGATGTATTCTTTGGTAAGTTTTGACATGACCACCGTGAAACCATCACCACAACCAATACACTGAGCATTTCTCACCCCCAGTTATCCCTTAGAGGCATTCTTGTTCCCACCCATTACCAGGCAACCACTGAGCTACGTCCTGTCACTATGGATTAGCTTGTACTTTCTAGCATGCTATATAAATGGAGCCAGACAGTATGTCTTCAGGCGGGAGACACTGGCTTCTTTCATGCTCCATAAATATTTTGAGATTCAACCATGTTAAATATCAACAGTTCCTTCCTTCCTACTGCTGATAACCAACTGTTACACCTACACCACGGTTCTGCCTCCCAAGACCAGCCTGCAAGCGGCCCATGCATCCATTCACTTGCTGATATACATCTGCACTGTTTCCAGGTTTTGTCCACTGTAAATAACCTGCTATGAACATTTATACACACATCCTGGGAAGGGCGGAGGGTAACTGATGAACTGCTGCAGGCTCAGTGTGACCAAGTCAGGTACCTAAGCACTTCAGGGAGCTCTCATAAGGGGCCCTGCACTTGTGTGCCTTCTATCTCCAGGTTCCCAGGGTGAAAATCTACTGAGCTGAATGACTCGGACCCAATCAAGGATCTGAAGAACTTCCCTTTACCACACCTTCCCTCCCTACATCCCTAAAGGCCCAGATAAGGGAGTTCCCCTTACTCGGTACATCATGTGCAGCTTCCAGGCAAACTAAAGGCAAAAGACAGAAGAGACAGAACAGACATCAGAAGCAGTCACATGACAGGGATGTTGGAATTATGAGAATGGGAATTTTTACAAGGTATATTCTAAAAATAGTGACTTTAAATAAAAAAATAAATTATTGCAGTAAAAAACACACTGCCATTAATCTTCCTCAAAAACTCTTCCTTGGTTCAAACACACGTATTTCATCGTTCTCACCACTTTCTGAAGCAGTTCTGGAGCTCTCTTTCGTGAGTGCCTGTAGCTGTGCTGTCGTGGCTGCCTTGAAGTCCTGAATCAATTCAAAGTGTTCACTGTGGAAGGTCACTCTGACTTTGGGGAAGAGCCAGAAGCTGTACAGTGCCAGAGGTGTGAATAAGGTGGATGAGGATGCACTGTGACATCATTTAACAGAAACTGCTGTACCAGAAGTGATAAGTGACACAGAGCATTGTCGTGACAGAGGTGAAACTTGTCAGTCCATATAAAAGAGGACTCCAGAGCTGTCACAGAAAGTGGCTAGAATGATGGGATGAGTGTGTCTGAAGCGAGAGGGAGGATTTTGAGGGGGATTAATGGTAATATGTCTTTTACTGTAATAAGTTTTTAAATATTTAAACATTCACCATATTTTTATTACCCCTTATAAAACAGATTAATATGCTAGGCTTTAATGGAGAAAGTAGACAACATACAAAACAGGATGGGTAATGTTTACAAGACAGGTGCACAGGCACTATAAGCAGCTAAGCCACAGAGCCCACAGCACAGAACGGGTAATATAAAGAGAGATGGAAACTCTAAGAAAGAATCAATAACAAATGCTGGAGATTAAAAAACAAAAAACTGCTTAATAGCTAGGTGCAGTGCTTCACACCTGCAACCCCAGCACTAAGAAGGCTGAGGCAAGAGGACTCCAAGTTCAAGGCCAGTCTGGGCTACACAGTGAGACCCTATCTCAAAAAACAAAACAACAACAACAACAACAAGGAACTACACCTAGGCATATCAAATTTAGAACAAAGAAAACCAAAAATAAAGAAAAAAATCCTAAAGAGAAGCCAAAGGAAAAACACCTTACTACTAGGGGAGCAAAAAGAAGAATCACATCCACAATCTCCTCAGAAACCATGCAAGCAAGAGAATGAAAAGTTCAAAGTGCTAAAACAAAACCCCTGCCAACCTAGACACAGTATCCTGTAACTCTACTCTTTGGGAGTGCAGGAGAAAGGAGGTTCAGATAGCACAGTGGGGCTTTGTTGGCAGTGGACCTGGCTTTTGAGATTCTGAAAGAAGTTCTTGTAGAGAGAAGGAAACAGTATGTGTCAGAAATGCAGACTTCTATGAAGAAAGGAAGAGCACCAGAGAAGGCACAGTGAAGACAAAGTTCAGTGAGGTAACAGATCCATTTTTTCCAAATGGTAACAGCAACAAGATGCTTGGTGAGAATGGCTCCTGTAGGTGTGAAATGCAAAGCAGTGCTGCCAGGCACAGGAGAGAGAGCAGGGAGACCTCGGGACTCTGAGGCCCTTGCACTATCCAGGAAGCAGCATAGCATGATTTGAAAGTGCATTTGGATTAGTTGTAAGTGTACATTGCAAACTCAAATCACTAAAAAAAAAGTATAGTTGATAACCTTAAGAAGGGCGAAAAAGGGCCGGGGATTAAGCTCAGTGGTTTTGTCACCTGCTGCGCAAGCCCAAGGACCTAAGTTCGATCCCCAGTACCAAAAAAAAAAAAAAAAAGAAAGGAAGAAAAAAATGAAATCAAAAGGCAGAAAAGAAAGTGAAAGACAAAAATAGGAAAAAAGAACAAGGACAATGAATAGAAAACAGTAACAGGCTAAGGCAGGAGGACCACTGTGAGTTCGAGGCCATCCTGGGCTCCATAGTGAGTTCAAGGCCAGGCTGAACTACATAGCAAGAGAAAGAAAAAGAAAATAGTAATAAGTATAGCAGATATTAATTCAGCTACCTCAACAGTCACTTTATGGCAATGATCTCAATACACAAAGACATTATCAGAAGGACGGCACACATCTCAGACGAGTGGTGCAAAGGTTTGTCACATTACTCAGAACAGTATTCAACTGAAAATTTATGAAATTGTTTATTTCTAGAATTTTCCATTTAATACTTTCAGACTGTGGTTGATAGTACATTACTGGAACCGTGAGGAGCTAAGCTGTGAATAAGGCGGAACTGCTGCAAATTAAAAATGAAGGGATGGAGAAAGACATGCCGCACTAACACTAATCAAGGGAGGCAGGAGCAAGTGTATTACTTTCAGAGGAAGGGAAATCAGAAAGGAGGCTCTGCACAAAGCTAAACAGGCCAGTGCACAAGAAGACACAAACATCCTTACTGTGCATGTTCTGGGCACTAAAACAGGTGAGGCACAAACTGACAGAGCTGCAGGGAGGAGCAGATGAACCCACAGGGATGGCTGGAGACTTCACCACCTGTCAGAGACGGGCTAAGCAACCAACAGCACCTCAACTGCCTGGATATAAAGGCAATGCTGGGTTTGGATCTTGGAGGTGCCAAGGGCCACACACTGAAGGCCCAGTCACCTAACATGGGGAGTTCCCACCTGGGTACACCTACGAACTCAAGGGACACCTGTGCAGATCTCAGGCCATGTGTGGGGAGGCTCTCCTTTGGAGGCCTCAACCTGTGACCTCCAGCCACTATCATTGTCTACCAAGTTGTCTGCTCAACTTGAGGGCATCACCAGGCCCTGAAGCTAGGGCCCTTTTGGAACCACAGACTTTCTCCAGATAGCAACAGGGATAATTCTGTTTCTCATCTCTAAAGGATCAGTCTCTTTTGTTACCTCAAGTTCATTATCTTGATATTTGTTAGGCATTTAAGAGAGAGTAACCTACCAAGGAAACTTACACAATAACTTCCTTAGTGCAGCCAAATAACAGGAAAAACCAAACAATGCAGCCCCACCCGCACATAACGGTATCACAGGCCAGAACTCTCACCACTACCCAGGCAAACATGGCAGGGGCCATGGCAGGGAAGCGGACTCCACCGCCACTCTCCTCCGAACAGACGGAAGCACAGCAGAAGCTGCCAAAGGCTTAATAATCCCTGGAGCCCAGGCATCATAACAAAAATGGCCAGGACACCTGAATCATTCCTCACACTAACAACAGGAAGGTCACGTTGAATAAGGAGATAGAGGAGCCGATGCTAAGACCAGGCATCAAGACTGCGTGATGAGGATCTCAGAGCAGCCATCATACAAATGCTGTGGCGAGCAACTACACTCCCAAAACTATGAAAAACAAAGTCTCTGCAAAGGCAGAGAAGATTATAGATGAACCAAAACAGAGATTTCAGAACTGACAGACACAATCACCAAAATAAAAGTAATGAATGGCTGGCTGAACAGCAGAATGGAGAGGAAAGAGAAGATAATCAGAGAACCTAAAAATGAAACAATAGAAACCACCCAATCTAAGGAGAGAAAAGACTCGAAAAAATACACAGTCTCAGGAACATGTGGGGATGTAATAAAAAGTGAAACCTTTGGGTCACCAGTGTCCCAGGAGGACCTGGGCTGGGCTACAGAAACAAACAAATACATGAGAGCATAATATATTCCACAGAATGAGAAAACATTTGCAAGTCACACATCTGATATGGGGCTTGTATCCAGAACACATAAAGAATTATGACCACTCAGTAATAAAAACACAGCGCAGTTTTAAAGTGGGCAAAGAATCTGTACAGACATTTCTCCACAAACGCTTATGCGTGGCCAAAAAGCACTCGAAAAGGTGTTCAGCACCATCAGCTGTTAGGATGGGCAAATCAAAGGCACCAGGACAGCTACCATCAAGGGCAGAAAAAGGGCTGGGGTGCAGCTCGGGTGCCGGCACTCACCCAGGATGCAGGAGGCCCTGGGTCCCATCCCCGGCACCAAGGAAATAAAAAAAAAAACAAATGTTGGCAAAGGTGTGGGAAAATAAAAGCTCCATGGAGAACAACTCGGTAGGCCCTCAACAGTCAAGTTACTTAACTGCTCTGTAAAATGAAGTTAATATGCATTTTGCTTGAAGCAGCATTATTGACATTAACTATAATTATTATAATTATTACAATTATTGTTGTGCTTATTATCATTGATTGGATCTATTAGTTTTGTCCCCCTATTACATATACTTTTGCTAGTTTAAATGGATACTTAAAGCAGCCTTGAACTAAGATAGGTATGTAAAGTTCTTATCACACTGACTGGTTTATATACTACGTGCTCAATAAATCAAAGCAAAGATTATTTATTTGCAAATAAAGATGTTAAGGTTGGACTGTCCTGCAAGAAAGAAGGCTGTACCCTGGCATGTGAGGGGTGTGGATGGCACCGGGCCTGAGGAAGGTTAGGTGGCGGCTCGCTTCAGACCTGACCACACCGAGCGCTTCATGCCCTGTGCAGCCTTCACCTCCTGCCAGTCCAGTTTGATGTCTGGAACCTCATCTTCTGGCTCCGGGTCCTTCCTCAAGGCCCCCTGGGGGGAGGCGACCACGATGGGCAGAGGGCCACATTCCTCCCGGAATTCCACCACATGCAGCCCCTTCTTATCAGCCAGGTGTTGATGGGTTTCCTGGCAAGAAATTAAGAATGCCATGAAATTAAATGCCATTAATTAAATGCCATACAAGTTGGTCCTGGGTACGTGCTTTGGGGCTAAATTAGGGTAACCTTATCATGGACGGGGTCATCTCAGTGCCACCGCCCAGCCCCAACTGAGATGACGAATCCAGACTCCCTAATTATGTACCTTGCTGTGCCAAAAACTGAACTCCAATCTCACCAAGCTCTTGGATCTAAGTACCCACTTGTAGGAAATACAAGGAAGAGAAGACACCAAGGGACACACAAGTATTCAGCAGCACCAGACTGGGAAACACTACAGGACAAACCACCTGATTTCCTAAAAAAAGAAAAGTCAAGTATGCAGTAGGGGTGTGGCTCTGTGGTGGAGCACTTCCCCAGTGTGTACGGAGCCCTGGATTCCCCAACACTAAAAAGAGAGGGAAACCCAGACCTAAAAGACATAGCAAACACTTAGCATATGTTGACATTTTCTGCAACCTGTCAAACAAATTGTACAAAAATGTTTTTTAAAAATCTGACAAATGGCAGGCCGGGGGTTTAGCTCAGTGGTGCCACCGCCTGCCTCGTAAGCACAAGGTCCCAAGTTCGATCCCTGGTACCAAAAAAAACAAAAAAAAAAAAGAAGAAAAATCCAACAAATGGGGACATTTGTGTGAACAGATTGGATATCTGATGACCCTAAGTTACTGCTATTAGGACTACAAAGTACTAATGGAAGAAATAAAATGATGTCTGAGATTTGGTTCAAAATGATGGGGCTGGGTGGGTGGTAATAAGGAACAAGGCCAGCCGTGAGTTTCAAGAGAGGGGTGTGGTAATTCACTGCATGGTGTGGCCACAGAAGTATGGAAACAGGCAAATAAATTTAGTGGATGGTTTATTTACTGTTCCTTAAATATCTGTTATGTTCAATTCCATGTGTCCAGACTTTACAGCCACTTTGTACTATGTATTCTAACCCTATAAATGTTTAAAATTAGATAAAAGATAAACTTTCATAAAGAAAAGATAATTTAAATTGGTGTCTTACAATGAAAGCCATGTCACTTAAATTGGTGGGTTTTTTATCTTTTTAGGTGGCACATTAAATAATGTAACTTTATAACTGATGGCATTTTAGGAGAGATGATACATGGTAACTACATCAGAAGGCTCAAAGCGAGCTGCACAGGCATGTGGGATCCTGCCGGAGGCCCGCCATTCCATCAGTGAGTGCACACAGATCCCTGGGAGCAGCTGTGTGTCCCAGACCCAAGCGGCTGCAGGCGGCTCTGGCACATCCGCCCAGGCCAGAAGCCTGCCCAGAGAGGAGCTGCACCAGCACATGGGCTCCCTCTGGGGGACAACATTCCATCCCTAAGTGCAGGCAGATCCCGGGGAGCAGCTGTGTGGCCCAGACCACTGCTGCTGGGGGCGGATCCCAGCCGGGGTTGGTATCCATTTCCCCAAGAAATTAAACACAAAGGGGGAGAATCCAACAAAAAGAAAAAGTCATGACAAGGATAAGTCAATACATATCAATTATAACCATCAATGTTAATGGTCTCCATTGACCAGTCAAAAGAAATAGACTGGCAGAATGGTCAAGGAGCAAGATTCAACAATATAAAGATCTAAATATTAAAACAAACACTAAGCCAACTGGAAGAGAGGTTAGGAAGAACTCTTGAAGACACTGGTATAGGAAAAGATTTTATGAACAAAACCTCAGTTGCCCATGAACTAGCACAATCAACAAGTGGGATCTCTTCTTATTAAAAAGCTTCTGGGCCAGGGATTTAGCTCAGTGGTTTCACCGCCTGCTGCGGAAGCGCAAGGACCTGAGTTCAATCCCCAGTACCAAAAAAAAAAAACAAAAACTTCTGCACAGCAAGAGAAACCACCAACAGTGTGAAGAGACAACCCACAATGTGGGAAAAAATTTTCACCAGCTGTCCCTCAGACAAAGGTCTACTATCTAGAATCTATAAAGAACTTAAAAAAATCAGACCTCCCAAATTTAAAGACCCAATACAAAAATGGGCATCTGAAATGAACAAACATTTCTCAGATAAAGAAGCAGAAATAGCAAATAAACATGAAAAAATGTTCAACATTACTGGTTATTTGAGAGACACAAATGAAAACAACACTGAGATTCCACCTCACCCCAGAAAGAATGGCTGCCATCATGAAATCAATAACAAATGCTGGCAGGGTGTGGGGAAAGAGGAACCCTGCTCCACTGCTGGTGGGAGTGTAGACTGGTTGCAACCACTGTGGAAATCAATATGGAGATACCTCTAGGAAGTGGGTCTGGAAGTCCCATTTGACCCAGCTATTTCCTTGGTGGGTATCTTCCCAAAAGAATTAAAAGAATCATACCACAGTGATATGTTCATAGCAGCACAGTTTGTAATAGCTAAAACTTGGAAACAACCCAAGTGCCCATCAACTGGAGACTGGATCAAGAAAATGTGGTTTTTTAATAAAATGGAGTACTACTCAGCCATAAAAAAGAGAAATCAGAGGCATTTATAGCTAAATGGATGCACATTGAGGTGATACTCTTAAATGAAATAAATAGGACACATGTGTAAATACCAAATAGTTTCTCTAGTGTGAGAAACTAAAAGTCTAAATAAGGACTAAAAGGTATAACAGATAATGTGAAATAGGAAGAAAAGGTGCAAAGGGGAAGGGGAAATGGGAGGGGTAGGGGAAATGAAAGAAGGGAATGGAATTAATATTAGAAAAAGAAAAATGGAAACAAAGTCTTCGTAGATAGGGAGGGGTGGAGGTGCTGAAGGGAAGGCAGGGGAAGGGGGAAAAAAGAAGAACCAAGATGGATTATGTAAAGGTGCAAATTTCCAATAATGAATGTCTTCATATTGTATACCTTAAATGTACCAATATAATTAATAAAAAATTAAGAAGGGTCAAAGCACTAACAGAAAACAAAAGGATCACAGGAAAGAACAAATCTGCAAATCCATAAACACGACCTGTTTGAAGCCAAAAGCCTAGTTACTTTTAGCAATTAAACCTCCAACAAGAGGTTTGAATTCAGAAGTGCTTTGAAGGGTATTTATAGTACTAATATACACAGAAGTGGTTCGCAAAAAATCTTGTATTCAAAGGCGTCTTCATGTTGTAATTCATTTTCATGTTGTCATCAGAGATCCCTAACATTATTCCACAGGTCGTCTTATTCAGAAACTGTCCCTGCACCCTGAAGATCTCGGCCTGGCTGTTTTCTGCTCAGCTGACTCTGCCCCATGATCCAGGGCCAGGCCAGGCCAGGCCTGCGGGCAGGTGGGGGCCAAGGCAGCCATGTAGCACTCTCCTTGAAGAGTAGAGACTTCAAGCCAACCAGCCAGGCAAGTGGGGGAAGCTGGGCAGCAGCCCAGGGCTCCAACCTCCAAGGAAAGGCACCGTGGCACCCTGGTGTTCCAGTCCCCCACGAATTCAGGAGTCAGCCCGCACCACCGTTGCAGGGAACCTGAAAAGTGCTTGGGCTTCTCTAGTGTGGAGGGTCCCTGGGGGCTTCCCTCACCTAGGACTGACTGGAGGGGCTAACTTAGGAAAGGGACTTGCTCTTTTAGTTTACAGTACAGTTGGAACTACAGTCAAGTACATATTCTTTTCACAATAAAATGTAGATTATAATTACTGGCCTTAAAAAATACTGAATTTTGAAACTTAAAAAAACCCATAAAGTTCTGTATGTCCATCAACAGATGCATGGATAAAGAAAATGTGGTATTTACACACAGAAGAGTACTCCTCAGCCATGAAGAAGGATAAACTTGAGTCATTTGTAGGAAAATGGATGCAGCTTGAGACTACAGTATTAAGTGAAACAGACATACAAACTTAAGTATCACAGAGTTTCTCTTATATGAGAAATCCAAAACATAAATTATAGAACAAAATTTTAAAAAAACATACAAAACGGGGAAATAGATCTTTTGTAAAAAAGGAAACCAAGAGATGAAGGGAGGGGAAGGAGCTGAAAAAAGAATTACAATGTGTCATGTACATCCACCAACTCCACAGGATGAATGTGATCGCCATGTACTGCAAACATGCGCTACAAAAATCCCTGAAGTATTTCTGGAAAGGTTAGCTATCATCAACTTTCTGATGACTCTAACTAAGCCAACACAGCCAAGGCACCAAAGAATGCGTGGGTGGCCCCAAAGAGCATCTCCAGGGCCCCCCGGACAGTGTGGCGTGACACAGAGCAGAACCTGCCCAGACCCCAGGCGTTACCTGGCGGGCAAGGCCCTGGAAGAGGCCTTGGGTGAGGTTGAGCATGTTGATGGACCCGGAGACCTTGGCATACATGTCCTTGATGCCAATGAGCCGGCAGATGGTGATGATGGCTCGGTGGCAGCAGAGGCCATAACCTACGGAAGAGGAAAGGCCAGGGTGAGTACCTGCACTGTCACTCTGCTGGCTTCCAGATGGCTCCGACTCTGGATTTGGGGGACAGCATTTGGGCTTCACCACTTCCTACTGAGGGACTCTGAACAACTTAGTGAGCTTCCAAGATGGCACTCACTTCAACAGGATGTTGTGAGGGTCAAACAGATTAAGTACACGCATCTCTTAAAACACGGGGGTCAAAACCAAGGCTCTTGTGAAGACCATCAGGGCCTAAAAACTCTTGACACCTACGTTCATGCTAAGGTTCAGGGACACATCTGTCCTCCCCTCCTCAAGTGTCCAGCTGCACCGAGCAGAGATATCCACTGCCCCCAACCAGGGAATTACCTCTGTTGGCTTTGGTGACATACCCACCCCAACTGCCCTCCTGGTCACCGGCTCAGCCCCCTCCCCTTCATCCAGGCCTGAAACCTTGGAACCAAGATTTCCCCTCTGGCCATTTGCCCTATTCTTGTCCTCTTGTCATCCTCTCCAGAAGAGCTTTAAAAACATAAACCAAATACACTGTTCACGATTAAAACCCCTCACTTCCCACTGTTTCCTGAACTAAGACAAGATAGAAACAAGACTCCGCAGCCTCCGCAGGCTTCCAGGCCTGAACCCTGCACAGCTTGTTGACCGCATCTACATACACCTCCTCCTCACACTGGCTCTTCCAGGTGGGACTTGGTGCTTGAGATTCCCACTTTCCCAGGTCCGCCCTTTGCCCCTCATCTTCAAGGTTGCACTCCAGGTGCTCCTCCTCAGAGGCTTTCATGTGACTAGGCTGTTGAAGGTGGCACCTGACCCCGCCCCAGGCAGCCAACCCTAAGATGGCATTCTGATCACAGCATTCAGACACTCTGAGATGCCTCTTATCCGAGGTTTCCCCTCAGTGGCATACAGGCCCCAGGAGGGCCAGGACAGTTGGTTTACTGCGAAATCCCCAGAGCCTAGAGTCAGGGCCTGGGCAGAGCATGTGGGGGTGAGGGACAGCAAAAGGCCCCCAGCTCAGACATTCTGATTTGCCAGTCACAAAACTTGGCACACATCTGCCTGCTTTGAGCTACAGATCTACTCTAAATTGCTTATTACTGGCCTCTATCTTCTGATTGTTCATAGTGACTTAGTACCTGTGTGCCCACACTTGTTGGAAGTAAGTATGTAACATATTCTCACCTAGAGGAGGGACGGTGCCCGAACACACTCATGTAATAAAAGTTCAATCAGTGCGTATGTGTTTCTATGGGAAATCCTTTGCCGCATTGTTTGAAGAACTGAATACTGTGCTGCAGCCAAGGTACAAGTGTTCTGTGGGGATCTTGCATTTCCAGTTTTCCTTGGGAAACTTACACTGCATAAAACTCTGTCATTTGCACAACATGCACAAACATCTGCCTTTCTTCGATGCACAGAAACATAGTTCAGGAAATATCTATAAAGTATCATACTGTTTTAGCTTCAAAAACAAGATATCTGCTCTAATACACAGGAAATGGTTTAAACTATATAAAAACCTAAAAGATACCGCTTTGATTAAAGACAGGAAGATTTAATTAAATTAAAACTGTAAGAGGCTTGCTGCTTCTGCTACTGTTGTAATTTTGTGATCTGGAAAGTGAACCCAGGGCCTTAAACTGTACATTCTTAAACTGTAGCAGTCTTTGAAAAATCATTCAGCTATAAATGTGTCTACACCAACACTGTCCAACAAAAATTGATGTAAATTAGAAACAGAAGCCATGTATGTAATTTTAGATTTCTCACAGTGTACTTTTAAGGTTTTTTTTTTAAATACATTTTGGTGGGCCGGGGATCCAGCTCAGTGGTTTCGCCGCCTGCTGTGCAAGTGCAAGGACCTGAGTTCAATCCCCGGTACCAAAATAAATAAATAAATAAATTTTGGTAATGTATTTTATTAAGCCAACATGTCCAAACATTATCATTTCACAATGTATTATCTACAATAATATTGGTGAGCCGGGGATTTAGCTCAGTGGTTCCACCACCTGCCTCGCAAGCACAAGGACCCAAGTTCGATCCCCAGGACCAAAAAAATAATAATAATAATAATATTGGTGAGTTAATTCACAGTCTGTTTCAGATCAAGTCTTTGAATCTGGTACGCACTTGACAGTTACATCTCAAGGGCCACACTTCCAGTGCCCACTCGCCCCACTGGCTGGTAATCACCACACAGAAAAGCACAGTTCAAAACCTTGACACCTGAGTGCTCAACTCAACACTGCTTACTAACAAAACAAACAAGCTTTACCAGGCATTTGAATGATTAAGTAGAGCTTTTAAGCAGAAGGCAAGTGCTATTGCATTAACACAACTGGCACCGGCTTTGATTTTTTTTCCTCTTGATTTCCATGCCTTAACTCTAGAAGAGTTCTGTTAGAAGCTTGATGTGAATTTTAAATGTTCTGCCTCTTACCCAAACTTTCTTAGGTTTATAAAATCAATCTAGAGGTATATAAAATCATTTTTCACTGTAGAACTATAGGAAAAACATGAATCTGAATGTTTAAGAATCCTACACCCAGAGTGCATCAGGCATGACCAATTCTGCCACCTGCATCCCAGAGCCTCTGTCAGCAGAGATCACAGAAGGTGCTCGATGCTTGACATGAGAGGCTGAGGTATGCCGTATGTGCTTATCAGGCACCAGCCTCCAGGTTCCAACTCAGGGGCCAAAGAGATCTTCAAAGAGAATTGGCGGTGCTAAGTGATGGGAACTGAATACACTGCAAAAACAGCAACCTCTAATAGCATCTGACAGCAATGAATCCTCTAGAGAAGCCAATGCTCCCACTCATCCCAGCCCAACTCCTCCCTTAGCCGCTCTTTCCTCTCCATGTGCTTGTCCTGCCTGTGGCTTGACTGCTTCCCCAGGAGCCTCTGCTCCTTGAGCCTCCCTGAGGCCTTTCCACAACGGTGCTGTCCAGATGAGCTCAAGTAAAGGGGACCAAAGACAAGAGGGAGGATGGGAATGCAGGATTTCCTGCTTCATCTTCAACTAATGCTAAGAGTTTTTATTACCTCTGGGTTGTTTCTTCATCTTGATATGTGTCCTTTTAAATCTTAATGAAATGTCATGGAATACTGGAGAATAAAAACATAAACACAACAAGGATTAGGTTCATGGCTTTGACTCCTCTGGGAATAAAACAGAGCACTGCACACTGCCCTGGAGAATAGCATATGGTGGCCACGGTGACTACTCGGACCTCACTCACTTTATAAACCTTCCCAAGAGACTAAGTCTGCTTCCACCTTTCATATATTTGTAAGAATGAAGTAAAAGAGAAACACAAAGATACCCACAGAGACATATCACCTCACGGGCTGTAAATTCCAGAAGGAAAGAACAACACTCACTTGTATGGTCTTCATATCGTTCTATGTAATGCAAATAGTGAACTGCTCTGTTCTTTGCCTAAAGAAAGGAAGGCAAATGTTTTCCTAAATCTCTTGCCGGAGTTCAAAAATATTTTTATAAAGTATTTTATTATGAAACAGTTCACTTACGCAAGCATTTTGTGTACAAGATAAGGGCTTACAAAAAAACGTAACCACAGCAGCAGTATCACACTTAAATTAATAATTCCTTGGCATCCCCGAACATTCCATCAGTATTCAAACTTCCACAGTATTCAAACTTCCACAGCTGCCTCATAATTTTGGTAAGCAATCACAAGCCTGGCCACAGTGGTGCAAAGAACGTAAGTTTCTTTATACCTCTGAAATGGTTTGTTTATTTATTTATTAAGGTACTGGGGACTAAACTCAAGGGCCTTCACACAGAGTTACATCCCCAACCCTTTTTGTTTGTTTGTTTTACTCTGAGGCAGGGTCTTGCTAAGTTGCTAAGTTACATAGGCTGGGTTTGAACTTCTGATCCTCCTGCCTCAGTCTCCCAGAGTGCTGAAATTATAGGTGTGCACCACCATCTGGCTTGATATGGCTTTTTTATAAATCCTTTAACGGATTCATGAGGAAGTTCTGGGACAAATTACTATTTTTTTGTAGATCCCTCACTATCCTTTACATGTCAAAAAAGAAAAAAACATGTACATACTTTCCTGAAAGCGTCTACCCGTTCAGTGGCTTTCCCAATGGCAAAACCTTTAAAAGAAAAACCAAAAAAATGAAAGGAGAAATAACTCTGGCACATTCCTTGGCTTTTACACATTCCTGGATTGGGCTCCCACAGCACCTTTTTACCACCCACAGAAAACCTGCTGTCCACATCCAACAACACATACAAGGCTACAGCGACTTGCTAATAGGTTTGAGGCATTCTAGAAATTTTACATCTGGGTGGATTTTTGAAATCCAAGGTTAGATGCATAACACTGCTTTTCATAAATCACTAAGAAAATGAAATGTACTGATTTTTTAAAAAATTATGTTCTAAATTAATACAGCAAAGTTGGGGGGGCACTTTTGGAAACAAGATTAAAATAACCAGAAAGGGTGGGAAAAAAATACATTGCTACAGAGTAAAACCATGATTTTAACTAATCAGGAAATAAAATCAATGGTTCCTCAATTTGTGAATGCTTAACCCCATGAAAACTCAAACTAACAGATGTTTCACATAACATATTGAAAACCAGCAAAGTCTGATGTTTCCAGGGTAACGATGTGGTGTATAAAGGACATAAATGAATGCAGCCTCTAGGAGGGAAACCTGGAAATACTCATCAACATTTAACAGTACGGGGCAGCAATTTCATTGCAAGAATTTTTCCCCATTGATACACTCACAAAAGTGCAACAAACATGTATAAGAAGGTTGCTTTTTAAATAAATGGTAAAAATTTGGAAATAACAAATATTCATCAACAGAGAAAAGATTACAAAAATTAATCTGTGTAACAGAACACGGTAGAATCTGCTGATGCAGATACAAAGACTCTGGATGTAACACTAAGAAAGAAAAAAGTGCGAGTTTACTGCTACAATACGACCACTGGGTTTTCTAAAAAAAGATAAAGGGTCAAAATAAGAATATGAAATTTATGAAAAGATATTTTTGAAGAGATAAAAAAGTAACTATTAAGTATGGTTTCTTTTTTAAAATTTTGGGGTCAGACTCTCACTAAATTGCCCAGGCTGGGCTCAAACTTGCGATCTTCCTGCCTCAGCCTCCCCAAGTGATAGGATTACAGGCATGTGCCACCAAACCTGACTTTTAAACACAGCTTCTTACAGCAGCATATCATCTATACATATTACTTTTGCTTTGTGTGTCAGCAAGGGTTAAGTGGCAATTTTCCAGTTTTTCCCCTTCAACATGCATGCATACATTTCAAAGGCACATGTTCACAAAATTTTTACAATAAAATATAAAGAAAAAAATTTACATGATTACCAAATCTACTAATTGCAGTAAACATTAACCTTTCCAGAGTATAGCCTTCAAATCTTTTAAAAAATTGGGATTATATTATACGGTATTACAATTTTTTCAGCATTACTGTGTAGTAATTTTCTGTAGCTCTTTAACAACTACAGAATACTACACTCTTTAGCTGTGCTAGTGTGTAACCATGGCTGTGTTGACTATTTTCCCCCCTAGTTTTTCACTATTAACAGTGTCTTAGGCCTTTTAAAATATCCTCTGTCCTTAGAGGAAAGAACAGGTGGAAGAAGAGCCACTCCTTCATTTTTCTCTGAAGGGTTTCACAAACTTCAAGGTCTGTGGGCTCGAACCAGCAGAAAAGGTCAAGCGACCAGCAGGGACACACAGCCCCCAGCAGGGCCCAGCCCACCACCGCCACCACGGCCAGCACTGTGTGCAGTGTCACACCCACTCACCTGCGACTCCTTTCCCATTCCCCACAACGACCAGGACGCGGATCGATTTCTTCCTTCCGTCTTTTGCTGTCATATTGAAAACATTTCTTACCTAAGAGACACAGGGTGTCATCAATAATAGGCCTTAAGCCGTGAAAACATGTCTCAACTCAGCCAAGTAGAACAGAATAAAGGTTATCAAGAGACTAGTGAGACAGCTTCACCACGAGAGGAGCCCTCAGCATCAAAGAATGAATATGAGAACAGCACCAAAGAACTGAAGAAAAAGCAAGCTCCTGGTCCAGGCAAATTTCTACCCACACTTTCCTTGAAATATCCTGAAGATGACCCACACTACTGTGTGTGGGTTCCACTTGAAGGTCAAAGTGGAGATGGCAGAAGCCATCTTAATGACAAGTATGGCTATTTATTTCCTCAGACTCCAAAAGGAAGACCTTGTGGACTATGTACATAGGACATTTTGAATGCTATGTCAAGTTGAGACCAGATGATCTGTTTGTAAAGTCTGGTGACTGGCCTTTTCTTCCATGCTCTTGGCTGCTTAAATTTATCTGCCAATCTGATTCTCCTGAGATTTTGGTATTTATGTCTAAAAATGTTTGTGTATATATGTAAAAAGGAAACCACATACTTCAAGAATTAGAAAAGTGAGACACGTGACCCTATTATAAAATAAGAATACAAAAAAATAATAATAGGCCTTAAGAAGGTTCTGGAGCAGGACACTGGTGAGACCCGCCTGACTCACTCAGGTGGCCACATCACCCTTTACTCCACAAGCAGAGTGAAAAGTGCTCTCCAAAAAAAACCTCCCTCTGGGCTGATACCGCAGGAACAGAATGGAAACGGCACTTCCTCTTCCTCTTTCACAAGGTTAGAAGATTCACCCGCAGGAACCCCTAAAGGAATTTGACACCATACAACTCAACACACCCTATCTTGATGACTATACTACAGGAAAGAAAAAAGTTGTGGATTAAACTTTGAAATTGTTTATCACTGATTATAAGCCCTATGCCACTCTCAGAGATGCTAAAATCTTAGAAATGATGAAATGCAGCACACAAAAATAATAGCACAGGCTTGGATCTCTACATTAAGGATTAGGATTAACTGAGAATAGAAAATTTAGAAATACCTGCTTATTTTGAATACAAGAAAATAAGCATTTTTTATCCTATTTTAAAGGCCAGGAACTATGAAACTGTTAAATAAACTGCTCACATGGTAGCTGGTTGTCTAGCTGGTGGTGACCCCTTTCCTGTAAAATGGAGTTGAAGGAAAAGGAGTCTATTGTGGATAATCTTACAGGAAACCATTGACATACACAAGAATTTTACAAAAGGAGTAACTTTCAAAAGCTAGAAACTGGAATACCAATACTAATACTTGTAAACATTATTTTAAATTCCACAATGTAACATACTGAAAAAAGAATATATTCAGAGAGGCATTATCACCACTCAATAAATAATTATTCCATATGCCGTTAAATACCAACTAAGTACGCAGTGCAGCTCAAAGGAATACTGACTATTTGAGAGAAAGCCTTCAGTGATTAAGAGTGTTTACTGTTTAAGTGACACAGGCTTTGGTCTCCAGAGGGCATTTACGCACCTTGACTGGACACTCACCTTCACTCTGAGCTTTCAGGCCACCTTCTCTGTCCAATCTCTGCTCCCTGAATTGAGTGCTACATACAACTGGGTCATAGCTCAGGGACAAATTGCTAATGCTACATTAGCTTATGGAAAGAGGAAATTTAAATTGTTATTCACCATACGACTCAAGTTGCCTTGACAACTTGGTAGCCCCTAAAAGGGCAGTACTTGAGCCAGCCAATATCAAGGAAAGGAAATAAGCTATTTCCTTACGCAATTCAGCTCAGTGTCTGAGAAATTGTCATGCATCAAAAGCTTTTCCTCCTGCTTCCTATCCCTACCCCATCCACCCAACAGCTCCAATAGTGTAAGCGGTACTTAATTTGACATGCCTACCTCTAGTATCCTGGTATCAAAATCCTCATAGGTTTCTACAAGGAGAAAAGAAACAAGCACAGGGATAAATGCGTCTGTAACATTCATATAGAAACATTTTCAGCACAGGTGTCAAAGCAGACTTGTGTGAGTCTTGGGTCTGCTATGCCACTCCCCAGGCCTTGACCTGTCCCCAGCATCAGTATGGACTGCTGCACCAGCAAGCTCACACCTGGGTCACTTCTCTCCCCGACGGGCCACCCTTCTCTGCAGCTCCTCCTCCTCAAAGGCTCCCAGGACAATGGTCCTCAGCCACTACCTCTCTTGTTCTCCGCTTTCATTGCCTCCTCCCCTTGACTAAGATACTAAAGTCCACCATTTCAACCAAGTGTCCTCAACTCCTCCATTCTTCTCTCTCTCCAGCACTGTCTAGGCCATGCAGCTTGGTTACAGCTGGCCTGTGGGTGCTGCTGGAGAGAAGTCAAAGCACAGCCCAAGGCCACATGCATGGTCTCCCACCCTAACCCGCTGCCCACGAACCTTTCATATTCTTCTAGTTTCTCTCTGTTCACAGCAGCAACCATTTCAAATACTTTCTATGTTCTTTTTTTTAAAAAAAAACTTTGTACTATAGGAAATGTCAACTATATAAAAATAAGACAGCAAAATAAAAGCTTATGCATTCATTAGTCTGCTTCAACTCACAGTCAATCATCTTTCCTCTAAAAGCTCAACCCCCACTCCATGGGACAATTCCAAGTGTCAATGCGGATGCCTCATCTCTGTCTGCACCAAGAGATGGCCCGCCAGATGCCCCTTCCCTACCAGCCTTGCAGGCTCCCTGAACCTAACCTGCCTTGCTTCTGTTAACAAGTTAACTCAGAACTAAGACTCTGGATCTGGGCCCCCTTTGGGGCTGGTCTGTGGTTCCTCATCACCCAGCTGAAGCTGGGGCTAGGCTCTGAGCACACTTGCCTCAACCTATCCCTACTGCCTTAAAGTCAATACTTTCAGGAACGCAGCTACTCTTGTGTGCTTCTTCCTGGCTCCTCCCTGACAGACACAGGATTTTCAGATGAATTTTACCTGTTTGTGTGCTTAGGAGTGGGGGAGGGACCCTGTTTTCTAACTTGGCCTAAGTATTATTGATCTTTGTTTTCTGTGTTTTTACAAGGCTTAATGACAACTCTCTGGCCTACTGGAAACTTCATTCACAAGGGCCACCCGTGTCTGCGAAACCCCACACGTACACCCATGATGCACATCACCACATTAAAGGCTCTGAAGAGCCATAAGACAAAGGCTCCTGGAGCCCAGGGCCTTCCCTCCTTTGAAACAACAGTTGGGATAATAATGTGGCAAGTTCTTCAGAGATGCTCAAATCCCTCTTTGGCAAACGGCAATCCAAACAGGTAAGTCAATAAAAACATTTCAAAACATATTCTAGAATTACAAGCCCTCTCTCGGTCAGCAAGGCAGGCAAACCAGGCCTCAGCTACCTCCATTGGGCCCAGGGTCAGGGGGCCCAAGGCTGACGCCGCCCCATGTGTGGCCGCTCCACCCACGCTCCCGCTTCACTTTAATCTTCCTCTTCCGGTCCCACTCTTCCCGCTGCTGGAGCATGTCAGCCTCCACCTTCTCCTGCTCCTCCTTTCTCCTTTGGGCAATCGTCTGCACATCCCCATTTTTCATGAGAGGGGCATTCAGGCCAGGCCACAGGAAACCAGAATGCCCTGAAGGTTTACAAAGAGAAATAAGTTTAAAAAGCATTCGTTTTTCAAGTGTTAAAATGCCAAGTGATGTATGTACAGATAACAACACACTGTTGGGGGACTTAAACTAATATGGCAGTCACTTAGTACTATTAAAGTTTTAAATAAACCGCACTATGTGCTGGTAATTCCACTTTCCAGTATCACATCCTAGTGAAATGCTCACATGCACCTTCAAGGCACATGTGGGCTTGGACAAGAACGCCCACTGAAGCATTATCTATAAAGGCAACTGTCGGGAATGATGGCACACACCTGTCATCCCAGCACTCAGGAGGCTGAGGCAGGAGTGCCCTGAGTTCTAGGCCAGCCTGGGCTACATAGCAAGACCCTGTCTCAAAAGGCCAATAAATAAATAAATAAACAAGCAAACAAACAAACCATAGACCCTACTGCATTTCATGAGAAATGTTTTGATGCTTCTAGTTTAAAATATCCATAAACTCTGAAGGAAAACACTTTAAAAGCACTTTAAGGCCTGGAATTTAGCTCAGTGGTTCCACCGCCTGCCTCACAAGCACAAGGACCCAAGTTCGATCCCCAGTATGGAAAAAAAAAAAAAAGCACTTTAGCTGTTTTTGTCAATTTACCTTCACCAATAATCTGACCCCTGTTCAAATCTTTTCTTCTCTTTTTCTTAGTTCTTTTGCCTCTTCCTTTTCTTGCTCCAGCACCAGTCTCTGCTAAAGCGCCTTTCCACAGCTCATCTGCCGTCACTGTAATGAATCAGGATTTTTTTTTTTAAATACTTTATTTTTTTTAGCAATGACCTACTATCTTCTACTGAATAAAAAAGGCCATAAGGGGCCAGCTTTGCTGGTATCACTGGGGTAAAGAAAGCAAAACAAAATCATTCTCTACACATGTCACATGGTTACACTTGGAAAGCCCAAGAGGAGCCAATTTTTTTACTTTTTTCCACAAAATCCTAGTTACTTACCAGTGGTTGTTTCCTTGTTTCTCTTCCTGTCCTCTTGCCTACACAACCACCACTGAGATAGTCTATAACTATCCATCCTACACACAGGCTTCTTGGTCAAGCAAGAATCAACACTTCAGTGTAAACCCATAAATCTGAAGGACTTAGATTGTTTCCCCTACTCTCCTATTAATGCCCTGAAAATGAGATACTCAAATTCACCTTCAACTGCAGTCTAACTGATACACAGAAAAGGAGGCACATCTAAAGACATCTGACAACTAATCCTCAAGTGTGCACGTGTGGATGTTGTTGAGTCATGTGTGTCTTTAATCTACATACAGACTCTGGCAAGCTGACTGATTTCCATTTCTGAATTTCTAGTATCCCAAATTTCATTTCCATCATGCATTTCTGTCAATATTTTCCCCTTTGTACCTGCAGAAAATGTACAGGTCACTGACCATTACTGGATTTTATTGGTATAGCTACAGATTTACTGGATTTAAATTCTGCCTTCCCAAAGATTTCCAGCCTTTTACAGCATCACCAACTATTTTATGACCAGGTTTTATTGCATTACCAAGTTGTTTAATAAAAAGCTGAGGGTAGAGGTACATGCCTACATTATCCCAGCTACTCAGGAGGCTGTGGCAGGAGGACTGCAAGTTTGAGGCCAGCCTGGGCAATTTACCAAGACCTTGTCTCAAAACAAAAAGGGCTGAGGAGGTAGCTTAGTGGTAGAGCACCCCTGGGTTTGATCCCCAGTACTGAAAAAACAAAAATAAAACAAAAAAAGAGCTACATAAATGCTATCCTACTCAAAATTCTAAGATAGATACATAGATAGGTGGAAGGCAACAGAGTACCTTCACTCTCCTTTTATGAACCTTTGGGTTTAGAAGTTCTACCTGCCCCCTCCCTGAAGGGCCCCACCTCAACACTCCAGGTAGGTAACATGGGAAAGGAAAACCTTTTGGATTTACACTATTTTTAAATACTTTATGGGATCCCACTTTCAAAACACTCACATGTAATACAGTTAATCTTCATGAAGAAGCTGGAAAATGTGAGATTCCACATTACTGGCTGCTTTGTGTATCCCTGATGGAACAAAAGATAAAGCTCAAACTATAGACCAATGCTAATTTACATCAAAGGACCACAGGTTCAAAATAAAGTGCCAGCCTCAAACTAAACTCTTACTAAAGAACTGACTGTTTCCCCCTCGCTCTTTAAAAATGATGGCACTGATAAGCCAGGCATTGTGGTGCACGGCTGAAATTTCAGCACCCAGAAGGCTGAGGCAGGAGGATTGCAAGTTTAAGGCCAGCCTGGGTTACATGGTGAGTTCAAGGCCAGCCTGGATTACACAGCAAGGCCTAATCTCAAAAATAAATAAATAAATAGTACCAATAAACACTATTAAAAACCTGAAAGTTTACTTGTAATGGGGCCATACTAAGAGGACCAACAACTATAGCTCACCGTCACTCAAAGCAGAATCAGTAAATCATTTAACCTGCTCTAAAAAAACAGGAAGTCTTTATTTTTAAAAACAAGTTTTTGTCTTTGGAGACATGTGCTAAAATATTAACTGTTTTGTACTATGATATGTGGGATTCACTTCAAAGTAACTGGGGTTGGGGAAGTGGTAAAGGTCAATGGAACAAGACTGGTCATGAGTTGGCAGTGGTTGGAGCTGGGTGATGAACACACAGGAATTTAATAGGCTGCTCCCTTCACTTCTGTTTATGATGGGAATCTCCCGTAATAAAAGGGTTTAAATTATAATTTAAATTATAGAGAATTATAAAATTGTATAAGATTAGTGAGATAAGCCAGCCACAAAAAGCCAAGTACTACATGCTTCATGTTTCTACATGCTACATGCTACATGTTTCTTGCGGAAACAGAAAGCAAAAAGGCAGCTCCCAGGGGTGGAAGAAGAGGGATGCTTCCAGGTCTCAGAGTCCAGTTCCGTGGTATGAAAACATCTAGAGGTTGGTTACACTGCAGTGGGAACCTACTGACCCGAACTGGGCACTCAGAGTGGGAAAGATGGCAAATCAGATGTTCTCTGTATTTTACTACAGGTAAAAATAAAAATAAAATTTCAAAGAGAGTTAAAAAAGATTCAATCTTAAAAGGAACTTGACAATGAAATAAGAGTAAAACTAAATTGAGTTAAGCTTTTTTAAATATATTAGAAAAATAAATTACCTAGCCACATTTGAAACAGAACCAAATCATATGTTACCTTATGAGTGCAGTTGTTAAAATGTTTTTTATACTTTTAATTATAAAAATTATTTTTTAAAATATGAAAAAGGGTTATATAAAAATTAATCATAATCTCATTGTCACTGTTAGAATAGTCTTTCTTTATATGTGTTTGCACATTTGACAGTATTACTTGTCTGTTTTAAATAAAATTAAAATTATATGCATATTTCATTTTTTGAGACAGGGTCTGGCTATGTAGTTCAGGCTGACTTTGAACTCATTATACAGCCCAAGCTGGTCTCAAACTCACGACACTCCTCCTGCCTCAGCCTCCTGAGTGCTAGGATTACAGGCATGTATCACCATGCCCGGCCTCCATATGCATAATTTTGTTTGCCTGTTACTCTCTAAATCTTTTCCCAATTCTGAAATATTATTCATGAACATGATTTTTTTTAATGGCTACAAGTTAAAGTAACTCCAAGTTGAATTAAATAGATTTACTATTATGTCAACTCTATCATTCCCTAGAAGAGCAATTAGGTTAATACACACATCTGTTAATTATCATAGCTATATAAAATAAAATCCACGTTTTATATGTACACACATATAAAATCCACTGTAGTACCCAACTTGATATACTATACTGAGGGCCCCCCCACACCCTCTCGGTGTTCTGGGTGGAACCTAAGATCTCACACATGCTAAACAAATGCTCTACCGCTAGCCACACCCCCAGTGCCTAAGTCCTCTCTCAATCATGCCAGGAAACACTGCTTACTAATTTGGATCAAAGGAATTTAAATGGTGGGCTTTCTCTATGGCAAGGGGATAGGTTTAACAAGGAAATCAATATATTTTGAAAAATTGTGGGGGGTGTTTTGGTTTGTTTCTCAGAGATTTAGAAAACTATTTCCTCTTGAAAGAGCTAGTTTCAACTCAGCTTGATCACTGGAGTGAGGCTCAGTATGACTTGGGAGTAATAAAACCACAAGGTCACAGAGTCACAGACCTGAGGACAAGGGGACCAACCTACAGGCAGAGGCAGACTTGGGACAAGAGCTCAGGATCGGGTCTACGACAGTAAGGAGCACCGCAAGAACAAGAGTTAGAGAAAAGGCTTTTTAGAACAGGGAAAAGGCAACTAAAAATAAAAATTCCCAAGCCTATGACTCTGATACACTCCTCCAAAGTACAAAGTCAACTCATTATAAAAAAAGGGCACCAAGGGAAGAGACTAACAGCCCCAAGAGTGCTCACTATGAGGCTTCTGACCATCCATCACCACGTGCTCTTGTCTGCCTTGCTACAGAAGTGACCTCCAAACTAAAACAAGCTGTGCCCCATAATGAGGCACTCTTGGTCACAGCACTGCCTGGGAACAGTCCCCGGACAAAGTCACAGGGCACCACCTTGTGAGAAGGGCACCAGCTCAGTGTTAACACAGTAGCAACACAAAGATCTGAGCTTATATTTTCTGGTGTTTTAAAACTGGCTTTATTTTTTGTACTTTTTTATTTTAATGTAACACAAGTAGATATTAATAAAGAAAATATAAAAAACACTCTTAATTCTGTGAAAAAAACAAAATTTCAAAACAAAATAGAGAATAACAATGGTTGCTATACTGTGTACCATAACCTTCAAATAATAGCCAAAATGTTACCCAGAGTACAAGTCATAAACAAACAAAAAAAAATATTCTCTTAGCCAGCCATGGTGGCTCACAACCTGTAACCTCAGCACTCAGGAGGCTGAGGTAGGAGGATCACCACAAGTTCGAGGCCAGCGTGGATTATATAGGCCAGTCTGAACTACATAGCAAGAGCCTGTCTCAAAAAACCAAACCAAAAAAAAAAAAAAAAAAGAAACTAGTAGTATAAATAGGAAGTAGGAGGATTTCAAACAACTCCCCAAATTATTCTGTTGTTTCAAAAACATTCTAAGATGAATGCTAATGTGCTTCATTTATTTTTCTGATTTTACTGAATATTACAGCATGGTCATGAATTGCCTTTATTATCCTACTTTCTTTTAATCTGCATAAATCTCCATTTACTACTTGACAAGCTAAATTTACACCAGATTAGACTCTCAAATCCAATCATAAATAGGAATAATATGAGGAAAATAACATCTTAAATTAACTTTTCCTGATTAGACACCCCATCTCCTCAGCTAAAGTACACCTGAAAATAGTGAGTGTATTCTTGGTGTGGCTCTAAATCCAGAGTGTTTGGGCCACAATTCAATACCCTGGAGGCCTCAGGTGTCCCAAGTGAGGGGATTGAAGTATATTAGGCCTCTGCTAAGTGTAAGTGTAAGTGGTAGAGCGTTCTAGGAGGTACAATGAGGAACATTTTTATTTTAATAGTATATCACAAACTAGTCAGTAAAATGTTAATTCATTTAAGAAAGAAGAAAAATCAAGGTACAAAAACACCTTCTGTCCTCCTGTCACATGGAAGGAGCTGTCTGTGGATATTCTACATACATTTAGTGAAGAAACTATAGGGTCTACACTGCTGGCCCATCAGGTTTCTGGAAGAAGAAACACAGCACTGTGTCTGCAGCGCGCAGCTCAAGCTGGTGAAATGATGGTCATTCCTGGAGCCCCGTGGTGACAAAGTGCCTACAGGTAGATGGAATAAAACTTTGAGTTAGGTGTTCCACGGCTGTGGAAAAACACTGACAGACCAAGTCGCTGTTACTATAAAAATAAGTCACAAAATCCTAACCTCTTAAGAATCATATTTTGAATACAGTCTGTCTTAAAAAACAAACAAAAAACATGTGACTGTTTTGATTTAGAATGACTTAAATGCCCATGCTAGTCACAGAAGCTGTAATTTTATCGTGCAATGAATGTAGCTGTCTAAAGAAGCAGATCTAGCCAGGCTTGGTGGAACATACCTGTACACTCAATATTCAGGGAAGCTGAGGCAGGAGGATCATAAGTTTGAGCCCAGCCTGGGCAACTTAGTGAGGCTCCAGTCTCAAAATAAAAAATAAAATGGGTAAGGATGTGGCTCAGTGCAAAGGCCCTGGGTTCAATTCCCAGTGCTGCCCCCCAAAAGTTAAATCTATATACAAATTTAGTGCCTTTTCCATCTTGATGAACCATTTATCAAGTACTGTGGCTGGCTGGAACCCTTGCAGTTTGAGGTGTGACAGCAAAACTAGGACAAATTGCTTTTTCTTCCTTCAAAATTTCAGGAAGGAATATTGGGGAAAGGGGCAGGGGCCAGGGGTAGACAGGCTCTGTCCACACCAGGATTTCTGTGTTGCTTTATCCCAACCAAACTCAGCAGTCTACATGGGGCAAACAGCGCCCTCTGCTGTATGCATCTGGTAATGCACTGACTTAGATGCACTGCAAATTAAACTGGTTAGAAAAGGGAGATGCCAAACAGTGCCTAGAGCATCCCACTCTTTATGTTTACAAAACAAAGAGGAAAGGGAAAATGTGTGAATACATTTTATAGATTAACTCCAGAAGTACAGTATGTGCAAGAAACTAGGTTTCCCCTAGAGAAGAAAACAGCAGCTGGGCATGGTGGCACACGCCTATAATCCCAGAACCTGGGAGGCAGGGGCAGGAGGATCATCACCACGAGTTCAAGCCGAGCCTGAACTGCAACAGCTGAGACTGTCGGAAAAAAAACACAAAAAGAGTATACTAGGTGCATTTAAGGTTGCATATGAGAGACTTGCTTTTCTCCACTGATTTGGATTTCTTTTTCACCATGTATCATTTTTCAAAATGGTTTAAGAGCCACATCTGACTGATCCCACAGAAGGTGATGTCAGGTGAGGATGAGGGATCAGGATGGGAGGAAACAGGACTGTGCTGACCAAACAGCGTGCAACTTAGGATTCCTGCATCACTGGAGAAACTGGGGCCTGAGGGAGAAGGGTGGGCATAAAGCAGCTCTAGAGAGAAACGGATATGGGCTTGAAAAATAGAAAACCACAGTGTGACAATGACAGCTGCTTCACCACCAGTGGAATAAGAAATAATTTGGTTAAGGAGACAAATGATATTCAAAGGTTGCAGTAAGCTATCGAAATATCCCTGCTGCATTCAGACACTGAAAAATAAAAGGATAACTTCCTTCAGTCCCTAGAGATCACTGAACCCAACCTCTACATTTCACAGACCAGGAAACTGAGGGCTGTGAGATTACACCTGCTGGAGGGCACCCAGAGGATCAGGAGATGGGATTTAAACCCATGACAGCTTGGGTCCCAGCCTTGCCACTACTGGCTATGTGATCCTGAACAAGTCAGTCAGCCTCCCTGAGACTAACTATCATCTACAAAACAGGACCGATAAAAGCTGGTGTAAGGATTAGCCAAGACAACATATTTATGCCTAATCCACAGTAACTACTCAATACATAGGAGCCACTATTTTTACAGCCTTGAACTGTGACAACAGCAATCACAAAAATTTGAAAACTATGTGACTCTACAGTTCCATCTTAAAGAATCTGCTCCGTTCATTTATGTTTTAAAAACTACAGAAGTGCTGGGCATGGTGACGCACACCTGTAATTCCAGCACTCAGGAGGATAAGGCAGAAGTATTGCTGTGAGTTCAAGATCAGCCTGGGTTCAAGGCCAGCCTAGAATACATAGTGAACCCTGTCTCAAAAAACTACAGAAGCAACTCTAACATTAAATCTTATGAGAAAACAGTCAATGAATCTCACCATTGCTGAGAGTCGTAGCCTTTAATGCCAAAACAGAAGTTGTTGGAAAGGCACTTACAGAAAGCTGCCTGGACCAGAAATGGCCTATAAGTTAAAAATAAATAAATAAATACATACAGACAGACAGACAGACAGACATATTTCTACATGAAATTGAAAAATTTAAACGGTCATACCCAGAATAATAATATTAATAAAAGAACTGAGACAAGTGACCAAGTGATTTCTGGGCTTCATGACATTTTCCAAGTAGCTGACATCACACCCCACCTTCCCCCTTCCCCATCACATCAACTATGACTGAGGACTCCTCAAAAATCATCCACACAACATAAAAAAAAAAAATCATCCACACAGCCTGGCACCCAGCACTCAAGAGGCTGAGGCAGGAGGATCGCTGCAAGTTCAAGGTTAGCCTGGACTACACAGTGGGTTCAAGGCCAGCCTGAACTACACAGCAAGACCTTGTCTCAAAAAAAAAAAAAACGAGAGAGAAAGAAAAGAAAGAAAGAAAGAAAGAAAGAAAGAAAGAAAGAAAGAAAGAAAGAAAGAAAGAAAGAGAGAAAGAAATCAGTCCACTGTCTCCTGCACTCTCCACTCTGGCCTTGCTGCCTTTCTCTGCTCAGGCCTCCTCACGGCTCAGCCACAGAGTAACACCAGTCTCCTGATAAGTCTCCGACCTCTCTAAGTCACTGCCTTTCTAAAATGACAGATACAGAGTCACTTTGTGCCTCTCCTGCAGAGCAGAATGGGAAGTCACTGCACAGCCAGCAGTGCTGCCCCTCAGCCCTCCTCCCTCCCCAGGGCCACACCAGAGGTGTGGTGGGTCTCAGCGCTCAGTTCTGCTCACCTGGCCTGCTGATACCTCAGCTCTCAGTGAAGCCTCTCTGTCCCCTCCGCAGCTCCACAGTCCCAAAGCCCCACAGCCCCTGGCCCTAAATGTCTAGTCCCCTGCAACCTCTCAAAAGGCATGGCACTCCAGAACCAGCTCTGACAGCACCTATGGGCAACTGACTTTTTTTTTAATGTTATTTTTATGAATACATGTTTGCAGTCCATTATGATTTCATTCATCCTGGGGAGTGGCACATGTACATAACACATTTTAATTCTTATGTCCCCTCCCCCACCATCTCATGGTCCCCTTCCCATCTAAGAAAGATCTTTCTCACTGTTTCCTATCATCTATCTTCCATTTTGCTTTTTAATTTATTTACACTTTGGGTTTCTCGTATAAGAGAAACTACACAATTTTTAAGCTTGTGTGTCTGATTTATTTCACCTAACATTATGATCACAAGGCACATCCATTTTCCAACAATGATTGAAATTTATCTTGTAGCACATGATATTCCATTGCGTATATATACCCCTTCTTCTTTATCTAATCATCTGTTGAAGGGTAACTGATTTTTGACAAGGATGTCAAAACCATTCAATGGGGAAAGAGTAATATCAACACACAAAAGAATAAAATTGGAGCCCTACCTCCCACCACATGTAAAAATTAACTTAAAATGGATGAAAAACGTAAAGGTTAAGAGCTGAAACTATAAAAATCTTACAAAGAAATACGGGGGTAAATTATCATGACCTTAGGTTTGGTAATGGTTAATATGAAACCAAAAACAACAGTGACAAAAGGAAAAGAAAAAAGACAAATCAAACTTCATCAAAATTTAAAACTTGTGTATCTCAGGGAAAGGGATAAAATATAGAGCCCCTGCCTAGCATGCGTGGGTCCTGGGTTTGATTCCCAGCACTGGAAAAAAAAAATGTGTTTAAAAAAACTTTCAAGAAAGTTAAAGACAACACATAGAATGAGATAAAATTTTTGACACATCATAACCCTCATAGAAGATTCATATCTAGAAAATATAAATAACTCTTACAATTCAATAACAAAAAGACAACCCAGTTTTAAAATGGACAAAAGATTTCAAAAGACTTTCTCCAAAGAATTGTACAAATGGCTACAAGCACATGATAATATGTTCATTACCCACTAGGTAAATGTAAATCACAACTACAAATTAGTATCATTTCGGATCCACTAGCATGGTTATAATCAAAAAGACAGATAATAAATGTTGGCAAAAAGAAATCAGAACCCTTATACAATGCTGGCAGGAACGTAAAACGATACAGCTACTTTGGAAAACAGTATGGCAGTTCCTCAAAAAGTCAAACATGGAGTTACCATTTTATCCAACAATTCCATTCCTGGATATACACATAAAATATATGTAAGTGCACACACACACACACAATAGCACTCTAATGTCTTAGCAACAGTAGGCATAAGAGCCAAAAGGTGGGAACGACCCAAATGTTCATCATCTGAGCAATGGATGCACAAAAATGCTGTACAGTGACACCAGACATTATTCTGCCCTAAGAAACGCAGTACTGACACATATTATAACATGGATGAATCATAACACTATGCTAAACAGAAGAAGCCTGTCACAAAAGAATGAGTATCACATGGGTCTATTTCTATGAACTGTCCAGAACAGGCAAGCCACAGAGAGAAGGAAAGATTAGCCATGGGGCCAGCAGGGATCTGGGCCGCGACAGCTAAAATGTACAGGTTTTCTTTTTGGAGTGATGCAAATGCTCTAAACTGGTGATGATAACTGCACAACTCTGTTAAAATATTAAAAACCATTATTGTATACTTTAAAGTGTACAGCATGTGAGTTATAAGGCTGATAACAAGAGTTTATACACGAGGAAAAACAACAGACTTTGGAGCCGGGAGCTATGGATGCCAAACCATGTTCCTTAGTCTAAACTGTGAGCAGTTTTCTTAATCTATGTCTTAACCCCCACATCTGTTAAAAAGAGAAAAATAAAAGAACCTACCTCACAGAGCATTGGAAGGAAAGCTGGGCCACTTGGCTATTTGAAAGGGGACTCGCGAAAGGTGACAGGCGGTCACAACAGGGACAAACGAAAAGAACGTGAGGGCAGATTTTCCGCCAGATGACTGCGGGTCAAGTACCACAGCAAGATGAGTCACAAAAAAGAACCTTTCGGTTTTTAGGAGTTTTTCGGGTTGGGAATTATAAATGCTGGACTGTGGACTTATAATAAAATAGAGCAAGCCGAGAAGGCAAAGACAATCACGAAGTGGTTCTGGAGGAAACCGTAATAGAGAACAGCACAGCACCTTCCTGGGGCTGCGGGCAACCAGGGAGGGTTGGGGAGGGAACAACAAAAGTGCCTTCTGATTTTCCAGTCACTTGTCTCTGTAGCAGGAGCACCGATTACCCCGGGCGGGATCTAAAACAACTGAGACTAACCCTACGACTCTCTCAGCAAGCTCCGCCGGCGGCCCTCAGCCCCGAACCCCGGGCTGACCCCATCCTACTCCTCTTCGCTGAGAACGCAGAGTTTCGTGAGCCGCAAAGAATCTTGGTCGACAGCCTCCAGTTCACGCTTATCACTTCACATTCAAAGGCCCAGAGGAACAGAACGCGTGCAAGGTCACACAGCGAGCTCGGGAAGGCGGAAAGTTGGCGCTCGCGCCGGCCGCAGCTTCTCGCTTCCCTCCGCCCGGGTTTCCTCACAGACCCAGCGGAGCCCCCAGTTCCCACACTCACCCGCCGGGACTCCGCACAGAGCAGGCAGGCAGCGAACAGCGCGCACGGAAACCGCCATGCTGGCGCCTCAGCAGCACCCCGCCTCCCTATAGGACAGCCTCCCTTACCGCCTGCCCCGACTGCTCCGCGTCAGACGACTGGCTCAGCCTGAACCTGGATGCCAAAAGCCGACGCCCAAGCACCAGCTCCGGACTGAGCGGGAGATTGTCGGACAAGCACCATGGAGAGTTCAATCAGGCGCAGCCACGGACAGCCCTACGGGGTCCTCGCGCTAGGTCCCGTAGGCGGGGCTAAGTGGTAAGAGGGTCCAAGGATAAGACATATAATAGGGTAAGGAAGTTGGCGCCCAGCTCCAATAAAGCTCTGAAATTGATTAGATTAGGCATTTAAATTACTGAGGATCTCACCCGTGTGTGTGTGTTTATTCTGATTGTAACGGTCACACACGCACATCCCAGCCCTGGCCCGGGACTTTTCACTCCCCACGGCCTTGGCCATACGATCCGTGCTTGCCACAATGACACACAAAGAGCTCCCTAGGAACGCGCTCAAATTTTTAGTTTTTAAATTCTCAGACATACAGAAAAAAAAGTAGTGATAAGAGAGTCAAAGATTATCAAGGCTGACACAACTGCTTCCTCTCTTCCTCTTTTCCTTTTTTATTTGCTGACAAAAAACTATTTCACCGCCACCTGTTTTACTTAGGATCCATCTGGTTTCCAGTAGACGTTTAACATCTCAAACTGGCCAAATTAAAAGAACACAGATTGGTTACTCCCACTTGTCAAGCCAACTGATGGTTAGGAGCATGGCAAAACCAGTGAATCTCCTGACAGGAGCCTATTGCTACACTTCATTTACTGTGGAGTTGACCCCAATTGGCATGGGTCTGTGCTTCAGTGATAACGGAAATTAAAATTGAGGCAACCGTGTGAATTTACAGGCAAAACGTTTAATTGAGAAGGAAGAGAAAATGGTAAGGGACTTAGGCTTGAGAAGGGCTGAAGAAGGCTCAGCTTTGACAGAGAACATCAGACTGGCCCATGAGCAAAGGAAAGGGCAAGCTTTGTGGGGTTGCTGGGATAAGCTGGGGTCTGTTTATTATTTCAGTTCTGGTTCTGCAAGGTGGCTCCAAAGAAGTCCTTATTGCTTCAGGGACCAATCTGGTTCCCATGAGGTGACTGCAGCCGCTTGGGGTATGGAGGGATGCGGAGGGGCACAGCCTTGTTTCTATGGAAGCTCTGATGGAATCCAGGGTGACTGCAGGTTTTGGGCAATGACTGGAGACTTCTAGACACCCGTTCCAGGGTCCTTGAGCAGGACACTGTAAAAGCTTGCCGTTGAATGTCCCTGCAAATTTCTTGTCTTGGAGTCTTTAGTCTTGAAGGGGGATGAGGTAGGTTAGGTAAACCCAGCGCTAAGAAACCTTGCATTACCAGTTTTAGGCAGGCACTCCTCAAATGACTAATATGTAGAGCTGAACAGGGATCTCTACCAAGGTTTTAAAGCAACAAAAGAGACAGATACAAAATGAAGGCAGAGATGTCAAGCTTTGTCCTGTTTTCAGGGACCCATTGGGCATCTGTAGGCCAAGTGAAGAATCAGTTTGTTTTAACAAAAGCAGCTTTTAAGTCTTTGACTGCTTCAGAAGAAAATACAAATCATGTTTTTAACGTGTGGTAGTTTCTTTGTCCTTTTGTGGTGATCTTAACAGTTTTATTTTGCTATCTAATTTAGTCTTGGAGATGCTATGGTGAAGGGGAGATGAAAAAGAAGACATGGGGCCAGGGATTTAGCTCAGTGGCACCGTTCATGCCTGCCTCACAAGCACAAGGTCCTGAGTTTGATCCTGGTACCAAAAAAAAGAAAAGAAAAAGAAGACATGTACATGCACCAACTCCTCACAATGAATGTAACCATTATATACTACAAACATTACTAATAAAAATAAATATCTCAAAGACATTATATATTTTAGTTACTTTACTTGTCACTGGGACACAATACCAGACACCAACAAATTAAAGCAGGAAAGGCTTATTCTGGCTCACATTTTGTACAGGTTTCAGTCCACAGTTGGCTGGCTCCAAGGCAGGGCAGCATGGCAGAGGAGAAACAGCTCATGGCATGGCAGACAGGAAGCAATGATGAAGGGAGGAAAGAGGGAGATAGACCCCTTCAGGCCACACCCCCATTGACCCACCCCCTCCAACCAGGCTTCAACTTCCAACATCATATTTAGCTATAAACTCACCAATGGGCTAATGCACTGATGAGAGTATTATGCCTGTGTGATCCAATCACCTCCAGAATGTCCCACATAAGAGCTCATGAGGCTTTGGAGAATAGGTAGGTATTAGATAGATAGATATTCCTGCTTCTAGTTAGCTCACCCCAGCTTTCATATGCCAACAACTTCCAAACAGAGCATACTTGCATTTTTCCATTATAAAGTTTTCTCATTACCTGTATGCGTTTGGGTATCTGCCACAGGTGATAGCTTTGTTGTAGAAGTCTCTGAATAAATAGTCACTGACTGTTCTTATTTGGGTGGTCTTTATCTCTACAAATATAAAACCCTTCATCTTCAAGAGGAGAAAACCAAGGCCCAGAGAAGCTCATAGATGTGACCCTACTCCCACATGCCTTTGGAGTATTTGTCTTGTGGCACAGATTCCTGGTCATCTGTTAGTATCCATTATCTATCTACCTCTTCTTCCTTAGTAACAGAATCCCCACATTTTAGCAGATCCCACTGCTGCCCAGAACAAAAACAATTTCAAGTCTCCCTTGCCATTTTGCCCGTGGTCTATAAGTAGGTGTGATGTGTTGCAGTTGTTCATTGCAGAATGTCCGAAGTACTGTATGGTCTTAATGTCTGTGACATGTTTGAGTAATAAGCTTTTTCCCATTAATTTGTTTGAAGGTGTTAGCTTGTATACTAAAGAACTTGGCTTGCCTTTGTCCCTGGTTCCTTGGAATTTCCTGAGCAATAGGAGTGGGCAACACCTATAGTTTATGCTCATAAGGAGATGGCAGCTGGCCATACAGGATGCAAAGTGATTAGAGGGTTGGGGCTTTGAGCCATGTGGTTACAGTCCAGGCTCTAAAAGGAAGGGAGCTGAGATGGAGTTCAACCGTCTGGTCAATGATTCAACCCACTATACCTGTCTAATGAGACCCCAGACAAAATTCTGGACACCAAAGCTCAGGAAAGCTTCCCTGGTCACAGTCCTCTGCACATTGGCACATGTGAGTGTGTGGTAGGGTAGTGCATTCCTATGACACCACAGCAGCTTTGCACTCGGGATGCTCCCAGACCTCACCCATGCATCTCTTCTTAGGCTGCATTTAATATAAAGCTTTTAAAACTATAATACAATTACCATCCTAAACATAGCACTTTCCTGAGTTCTGAGAGTCATTCTAGTGAGTTATCCACCCTGGAGAGGTGCTCAAAACCCTTGAATTTGTAGCCAAATGTCAGAAGTGAAAGTGTCTGAGAGACCCCTGAGTTTGTGGCTGGTGTCTAAAACAAGGGCAGCCTTGTGGCTACTGTGTTTTTTAGGTATCAGATATCATTATGGTGCTACAGAATTACAAAGCACTGAATGTCTATATACATCCACACACCAACCTGCCCTAAAAAATGGAACAATGCTAATCCATATTTGAATTTGAAAAATAACATTGCATTTTTCTAATATTTAATTGGCAGTTTTCTAGAAGGATAGTTCTCCATTTAGTGCAAAAATATGAAGTCAGAAATACTGTACTAAGAAAACCTGGATGATACCAGTTATTTTTCAAATTAATACATGGTTCATGTGCACCTACTGTGTGCTCACTTCTCAGAGGAAGCAAGATGTGACCTGCAGCAGCTCAGCTGGTAGTCTGGTTCAGGAGACAAGAAAGGGGTAAGATGATGAAGATAAAAGTATTTAAATAGATCAAGACAGTGATGAGAGAGTTATCACAACTCCAGATACTCTCCATTAAAAAAAAGTATGGAAACAACAAATATTCTTCCTATTACAAATGGGGAAGATATAACTTCACACCAGCATCAACAGAACCCTTCCCGAGGAAGAGAGGGTGCTCAGGGTTTGAACTGATTGTGTCAGCTCTGGGGAGGTGGGGAGGACATTCAGCTGATGGTGCAGCCTGAGGATATGTTTTCAGGCTGGGGAATGTAGAGCACATCTGTGGAGTAGCAATCAAGGCAGTGTGTTGCTTTAGGCTTCTCAGGAGCAGCAGGAGCCTCGGGCAAACCAAAGAGAGCATTAAATGCCAGACCAAGTGGGGCTTTGTCTTGGAGGCAGTGTTGGGAATTTCTGAGGGGATAGGCAGTGGTTTCAAGCTGATGAAAAGGGTTACCATGGCAGGGATACACAGGAGGAAGGGACAGAGTCTGGGCAAAGACTGGTCACAAAACTGTAAGCATCCAGGTATGAAGTGACTTGGGTGAATGTTAGGGAATGGCACTGGGACAAAAGGAGTTGGAGCAAATGAAGCTAATAGAAAAAGACATTTTCTTTCTACCCACTGTGAACCTTGGCTCTCTGGTAAGAAACCCATCTGATTTCTCAGCTCCAAGACTGGAATCCTGACCTGATGCCTTCTGCATACCCTTCCTGCCTGCTGCCCTCTGCTGTGGCCACCTCTTAAGACACTGACCTCCAGCCTGCCTGCATGGACCCACTGTAAGCTGTTCCCTGAATTCTGGGCTCACACTGTTCATCTGGACTTTTAATGGTCTGTCCTAGTACAAGCTAATCTTTGTTGGGCTTATTGGTAAGGCTCCTGTGGTTCATCCCAGCTCCTAGTCATGGTTTCTCCACCTAAGGTGCAGAGCCAACAGGGCCTGAATTTAAAAGAGGTTTACATTGTTCTGAGATCCAGCTTGTTTAGCAATAATTACTACAGAAAATAAAAACTGCTACTATTACAGCTTTTATCTAGATGTTCCCCCAAATGGTCATAATGGTCATAGGGGGGGCTTTTTGGAAGTGGCTGGATCTAGGGTATGTGATGCTAGGATCAATGATGTGATGATGGGATTGATTCATGGTGCAATGCTAGCACTAAGGGTGCTACCTTCCCTGCAGGTAGCCTGGATAAAATATGAGACAGAAAGAGGGCTGCTGTTGTCACTTGTCACTTGCTGCTTTTGCTATTTTCAGCCTGCCACGAACTGTTTCTCCTTCTGTGATCCTTTGCTATGCCACCATGCCATGGAGCCAGCTGATT